CTCATCTCTCTTATGCTGATTTTTATTGATCCTTTACTTGAGCCTAGAAGTTCCTCACTCTGGTGAAAGGATTCATCATGGTTTGAGATTAATTTTCAGGTGATGATGTACGGCCCACAACGTTCTCCATGACTAACGCAGAAGACTGGGACAAATTCAGGAGTATTGACATGGATAAAGAGGTTTTTTTATTTGGCTTTCATGTTGCCATTATAATTTTTATCTTTTTAACTTCAATAGAGTTAAACCTTTCTTTTGTTTTTTTTCATAAGAAACAATTTCATTGATATACGAAATTTATGACATTTACAAAAAGGATAGAACATCCTTGGTGATTACAAAAGGCTCTCCTAATTGTTTAAAAGGGAAGTGCAGATACAGGAAGTAAAAATACCTAAGGGCTGCTCTTGTCCAAATTTTTTTGTTGGTTATGTTCCTTCCAAAGAACCCAAAGAAGGGCCTGGGTGATGTGCATTTGAAATTAAAGGGTCATATTATCTTCTTTTTAGGCTAAGCTCATTGGAGTCTTGGATAACTCATCCGCTAGGAGAAAGGGTCATATCAATGCTGACAAAATGGCTTTCTTGAATGCCTGGCGCAGAATAGAGAGTCGAACAAGAGAGGCACTTCGTCGTAGTTTTCTTCCAGGTCTTGTTGAGAGTTTTGAGGTATGTTTTCGTAGGAGAACTCTGGTCAGAATGTTGGTTGTTCACCAAGTCTAGACGGTTGGGGAGGAGAACAAAGCATTCCTTATAAGGGTGTAGAAACCTCTCTCTACCAGAGGCGTTTTAAAATCCTTGAGGAGAAGCCCGAAAGAAAAAGTCCAATGAGGACAATATCCGTTAGCGGTGGGTTTGTGCTGCTACAACTTAATAACTTCGTCTGCATTTTATTTCTTCAGGAATGCATACGATCATTCATCTCAGACTCTAGTAATCAAGACGTCCTAACTTTGCGGGTTCAAGATCCTTTCCACAGATTATTGCTGCATGGAGTTTGTGAGGTATTCCCTTTGTGTTCAATTTGAAAAAATGGCTTAATCATGAAATTTCAAGACAGTTCACACAAACATGATTCGTTGCTACTTATCTGACTTGAAATTATTCTAATGTGTATAGGATGAAATATAAAAACTAACCAAATTTTGGTTAATCGTAGATTTATAACCATGAGAAGCTGTTCGCCCTTTATTCATCTTCTATTTGGCGAACATTTTCTTGGCATCATATGAATCGTTTTTTTTTTGGTAGTTCTACAATCTGGATTCTGCGACTGTTCCCGAGTCGAAGGGCTCTGGCTGTACGAAGATGACTCGGATAACAAGGAAGAAGAAGGCCATGGTTGAGATCCCAAATATAACTCTGACCCATTTTCTTAAGATGTCCAAAGAAGGAACATGGTGACTTCAATCCATTAGGTGAATAAACTTGATAGGCTTTTTCATTGATGTTCATTACAATAAAGGATTAAATTATTTAGACGTTTGGTACTGTACAGATGTTGCTTAAATCCTGCTACTGGACTGGCGTGTACTGTAAATTAGCTTAATTGTGCTGTTTATATATTATTTGAACAGGGAAATGCCGGTAATTTACCGATATTGTTCCCTTCGATCTTTTCTTTCAAGCTTCTCCTTGAGGTATTTTAAATGGATTTATGGATTTGTTAGGGAGATGTTTTCACTCTTATAAAAACTGTTTTGTTCTCCTTTCCGACTAATGTGCGAACTTACAATTCACCCATCTTCGAGGGTCTTCGCTGGCACACTGTTCGGTGTCTGGCTCTTATATCATTTGTAATGACCTAAGTCTACCGCTAGCAAATATTGTCGTCTTTGAGTTTTCTCTTTCGGGCTTCTCGAAGTTTTTAAAACGCGTATGTTATGGAGATATTTTGACAATCTTATAAAAAATGTTTTATTCTCTTCTCCAACCGATGTAGGATCTCACAATCCACCCTTCTTTAGGGCCAGCATTTTATTCCTCCCTTCAACCTTCAATTGATGTGTAAGATGTGTTTCATTCCTATCTTCAAATTAGATGGTCACTCATGATTATGTTAACCGGTGCTATGGGCCACATATTCATAGATGGACAACTCAATAACTATTCAAAGACCGCTTCAAGTCACAAGAACATGTCTTTTACGAAAAATTAGGACTCCTATTTCAGACTTTCAAAACAATCAGAGATCTTCCAATCTATTAAAGAGAATGTTTGGCTTTAGTTGCGGTTTAGAGATTATGATCGAAGTTTTGGCACGAGCTTGATCAAACTGGGTCATGATTTGCTTCCACCTTCCTAAATCATCCTAGTATTTGGTGGGGTCGGGAGCTTTGCGGGCATAGTAGCACTCTTGTCTAACATCTAAATTCATATCAATCTCTTCTTCATTTGAGTTGCACGACCATATCAATCTAACACAGTAAAACGAAGACAATATTTAAATTAACACTAAAAAAAGACGACGCAACAAGTATTATATTTATTAAAAATTGAAACTCGACAATAAATGTAAATCTCAAAGTCAAATAATTAATGGCGATAATATTATATTCAACCTTGAATCTCACGTATATATTTTTAATTTTTTTAAAATAAATTAAATTTTTGTTAACCTAATAATATTGAAAGTTTAAAAGCATATAAATAAAAAAAATAAAAAATGGTATTATATATTTTTTTTTCCATTTTTAACCTTTCTTTTTAAACCGAGCACTTTTACACTATTTGTTGGAGGCATTCAAAGAGATCATAATTAGAAAGTTAATGGAAACGTGGGCCAAACACAGCATGATACATGTGCACTTGTGTATCACTCCTTTCCCTTGGTGGGTTTTTCTGCTAGTGGAAGGTTGGGTCAAGTTGGGTATATATACGAGCTTGCTTGGGAGTCTATATGATCATGTGTAGAGAAGTATTGCACATCCAATATGACCCGACTTGAAAGTAGAGATTAAGGTCATGATTTTGCATGAAATGATAGGTTCCACCGTGATTGCATTTCTTGACCCGTAAAGGCGGCTTATTTACATACTCATGTCACGTGCTACTTTACAACATTTTTTTTTTTTTTTTAATGAATTCTAGAAAATTCACTTCTTTTTTTAATTTAATATCTAACTTTTAGAAAAATTTGAAGATTTATTAAATATTTATTATCTTTTTTCCTATAAAAAGGAACTTGGTTTGAAAGACTGAACGGCAAGCTTTGTACTGCAAGAAAAATGGCGACGCCTCTGTTCTTCGTGTTCTTCACTTTCTCTCTCCTTTCATTTCCATTTTTCTCTCTCCAAACAGCCTTTATCGCTCCCATTCACAAAGATCACAACTCCCTCCTCTACTCCATCTCCGTCCACGTCAAAACTCCCCTCCGTCCGGCCAATCTCCACCTCGACCTCGGCGGCGCCTTCTCCTGGATCGACTGCTACAACCATTACAATTCTTCCTCTTACCGCCTTGTCAAATGCAATTCTCCTCTCTCCGATTCTTTCAACCACGGCGTTTGCGGCTCCTGTATTCAAGCCCCAACTCCAACCTGCGGTAACGACACCATCTTCACTTACGTCTACCCCGAGAAACCCTCGATTCGAGACGAATACGTCGATTACCTTAATGCGAAGCTCACAGATTCCGAGAATGTAGTCACCGATGTTCTTGCTCTGTCCACCACCGACGGCTCCCGTTCCGGCTCACTCCGTCAAGTTTCTTACATGCCGTTTGCCTGTGTCAAGACAAATTTCCTCCGAGGACTTGCTCGGAATGTAATTGGCCTGGCGGCGCTCGGCCGTGCGAACGAGTCGATTCCGTTGACGATTAGTGCGAAATTCAATAGCCCTAGAATCTTTGCGATTTGTTTATCGGGAACGAGATTAGGATCTGGTGTAGCGTTTTTCGGATCTAAAGGACCGTACATATTTTCCCCCAATGTTGATCTCTCCAAATCCCTAATTTACACTCCGTTGCTCTTCAATCCCCAAAGCGGCTCAATCTACACGAATTGGTTGCCGTCTTACGAGTATTACATTGGACTCTCCGCCATCAGAATCAACAACGAGGTGGTGCGATTCAACACTTCCTTGTTGCAGTTTGAGCCAGTTCACGGCCGCGGCGGAGCGAAGATCAGCACCTCCACTACCTACGCTCTGCTCCAGAGCTCTATTTACCGAGCATTCGCGATGGCGTTTATGAAGGAAGCGGCTAGGTTGAACTTCACGTTGGCGAATGCGGTGGAGCCGTTCGGCGTGTGCTTTGAGGGGAGCAGCGTTGAGATGACGGCAGCGGGACCGAGGGCGCCGGTGGTGTATTTGGAGATGGAGAAGGGGAAAGTGGTGTGGAAATTGGGGGGGAGGAATTCGATGGTGAGGATTAAGAAGCTGGGAGTGGATTTGTGGTGCTTAGGATATGTTAATGGCGGGGAGTTTCCGAGGACGCCGATCGTGATCGGAGGTCTGCAAATGGAGGATCATTTGTTGCAGTTTGATCTTGAAAAGTATAGATTTGGGTTTAGTTCGTCGGCGTTGATGCAAGGGACTTCGTGTTCTAAGTTCAACTTCAGTTCTTCCGACAATTTCCTATAATAATATGAAAATTTTCCTCTCGAGCACTCATGGGAGGCTAAAAATATAATAATTAGAAACTAGTTGAATAATGGGCCAAAAGAAAAAGAAGAGCCAACTTATGGAACTTTTTGGTTTTTGAGTACAATTTTAGGTTTACACGGGTTATAATTTTATTGTTTTATTATATAATGCTCACATTTTTATTAAATATGATATGTTGTCACCCAAGATTAAAATATCAATTTTATGACAATAATGCTAAGAATCCTTAAATGAGTTAAAGAACTTGTTATCAAAAACTAAACCTAAAATTTAATTTTAAAGATTTTCAAATACTCGTCCAGTTATGAAAATACGATCCAACCAAACATTGTTCACTTTAGAACAGATCACCAAACAAAGAAGAATGACATAATCTCCATGCTAGAACTTCGTAGGCTAAGCATCAAAGTTATTGTTGATAAAACATTAGAAACATCTTTCATGCAAAAAACCCAGAAAAAATATAACAAAAGGAATTGTAAATGAACTTTAGACCATTCAAAACCATCTGGAGATCTTTCAACAGCACAATCCAAAATTTTAATGGCGAATAAGAAATTGTATCTCATCAGGCAAAACATAAGGTCTCTAATTGACAAAACATGAATTGATTGATCAAGGGGCAACAACAATCCGGCCAGCGACTTGATCAAGATCCCGTCGTCCGCTCGAAGTAATTCTCCTTCCACTGCAAACCCATCCAGATAGAAAAGGAGATCAATAGATAATAATAATGTTGTAACATATGACTCGAAACCAGGGTAAATCACAACATATAATAACAGGCAGTATAGAAGTTATAATCACTAAGCTAATTATGAGGATCTTTGTACTCACCCCTTTGGGTCAACATCAACAATGTTCATCTCCTGCAATTGTTGTAAAATGTGACGGGCGATGGCACCACTGCTTTCGCAGAAGTGTGGAGGACGACTACCATTCCTCTTGCTTCCACCATAAATCCTCTTGAATGCTCCAACACCAAGACCTCCCCTCAAGTAGATCTTCCTTGCCATGGATGCTGCATAATTTGGAAAAAGTGATCAAAAGAAAACACAATATAAAACAATTGCTTTATGTTGGTTTTGTTCATTTCATACGAACACATGGAAGTCAAAAACAGGAAAAGAGGGAACTAACCAGCTCTCACGTAATACCAGTCAGGGTCATAAGGAGCAAGCTCTTTGAATCTTGCAGTCTTAACAATGTCGGTCCATGGTGGAAGCTCAACCTGCTCGTAATTATGCATTGTATAAGAATTGTAAGCCACATAGACCACATTCGATTAACCAGTGAAGTATCGTAACATGGGGAACTAAAACGGATAATCCAAAACAGGGAGTTCGAAAAACGACTTCCATAAAATGTTCTTTTCCATAGGAAGCATTCGTGGATAGTATCAAATTCGAACTTATGGCCGAAAAATCATATAGACTAGTTAGCGCAGTCGAACATTAGGAATCCTAAAGTGAAAACATGTCTAAATTGCATAGGATCCAAGAAACAGTCACAACCCACAAATTATTCACAGAAGAGGCATATTCAATGCACGAGCAGATAATCTAACAGCCTATAAAGGTTAAAAAGAAAACAAAAATCAGAAGCGATCAATCGAAGCGTCTACATCCCAAAACCTGCAAAACGCTTGTATAATTGATAAAAACAAAGAGGAGAAGTACAATGGAGGCTAAGATAAGCAAAGAAAGAAGGGAAACAATGCAGAATCAAGCACACTCCACGAGAGAGCCGGAAATATTTGAACTTCAAATTCAGCATTCACATAGTTCACGAAATCGATATCCCAGAATACTCTTTTAAATCGAGAATCAAGTTTTATAAGCCACGAAATAAACAAAATGCCAAATAGAGAAACAAAATGGATACCTTTCCAGACCGCTTCAGATGAGCGGCATAGGCCTTGACAAACTCGTGAGGAGAGACATCCTTGACGGTCCTAGCAGTAGCCATGGCTGTTGAATTCAGTAAGCAAAGGCCGGCAAAAGCTCCGATTGCTGAACTAGGGCTTCCGCCTTTCTCAAACTCTAGGGTTTTGGAAGAGTGATAAACGGCCTGTATTTATATTCGGAAATTTCTCGTTTTTAACCTGTTTGATTATTGATATTTCAATTATACCCTTATTATTCTTTTAGTTTCCGTAATTGCCCCTTCACGTCTGCCTACTTTTATTTTTATTCTCTTTTTATTCCAATTTTCGGTGGAAATAATATCTACAAAATTAAATCGTGTGGTTTAAAAAATAAAATAAAATATTAATCTATGCAATTTTGAACCTTCTAATTTAATATTATTCTATTTGGATTTATAGTTAGTAAAATATAAAAGAAAATACACAAATTTTCAAAATGGGTATATCGTAATTTAGAAACATTTATAAGATTTAATTAAATCATAGGAAATCAAATGAAAATTAAGTACGTTTTTTTTAATTCAACATATAGAGATAGGAATTTGAACATCTAACCATGAGATTAATAGTATATTAACTTAACATCTAAGTTATACTCTCGTCTATAATGAAAACTAGCATAAACCAAAGAAATGTTCCGATGTTTTAAAATTAAAGGGACCAAATTGATACTAAGCTCAAACTATTCGGACCAATTGAAACTAAGCTCAATTTATAGGGACCCAGTTGAAACTAAACTGAATTATAGGACCCAATTGAAACTAAACTTAAATTCTAAGGATTGAATTGAAACACTGAAAAACGAATTCTATGAAAGTGAAACTGGTAAGCTATTGTCGAACCAACTTAAGAGTGTATTTCAAACCGATTGAGTCGAGTTTGTTTGATCAGTTTCGTTGGTTTTTTGGGCTTCGTGGTAAAAAGTGCTTGAAACTTCACTCACACACATCTTGGTGGTCAACTTTAGAAGCTCACGAGACTCTTCATTCAACTGAACATTGTCCTGTTCCATTCTTTCAGCAACTATGAGTGGCATTTTACCAGCTTTCGCATAGGTCCGCAACAGAGAATTGTATATCTCAGTATCCACATGACCAGCATTCCTAAGAATAATCAACAGCTGCTCCGTCCCTTCGAAGTTACCCTGCTCTTCGAGTCGCTTACACACTCCTTTAACCAGCCTCTCATCCGCGTTCCATTTCTTCACACTGCCAACAGCATTCTTGAAGAACTGCAGCACTTTCTCCATCTGATTCTCTTTCAGATAACCCCATGTGAGGAGCTCCCAAGTAGTGTAAGATGGTATGATTCCTTTAAGCGTCATCCGATCATAGAAACTCTCAGCTTGTTTCATTTGGTTTTTGTTGATATACGCTGCTAGCAATATATTTGGAACACGAGTATCACCCGTCCCAGAAACCGACTCCCATTCGGTGTAGAGTTTCTCAGCATCCTCGAGCTTGTCAAGTTTCACAAGAGATGATATCATGCACATATACTCGCTATCATTCATCTTGCGAAAGGATGAGTTCATCTTTTTCCATATCCTGCAAACTCCATCCTTATCCCCCAAATTGGTATATAAGCTAAGAAGCGATGAAAACGAAATTCTGTTTCGTTTAGATGCCATTTTCTCCATCTTCTTCAAAGTAGATGCTGCTTTTTCAGTAAGTTGTTGTTTGGAATACAAGTTAGCTAATGTGCTGAACGATACCCAATCTGGTTCGATCTTTGCGTTCTTCATCTCGAGGAAAATGTTTTCTGCAGCTTCAACATCATTTTGCAAAGTGCAAACATTCAACAAAAGATTGTATGTTACCACATCTGGTTTGGTGTTCTTCTTTAATTCTTGAACCAGAGCAGGAACCTTCTCTAGTCGCTTGTTCGTGATGTGAAGAGATAGCATGTGGTTGAAAGAAAGAGGACTTTTCAAGAAACCAAATTCGGACATTTTCGCCATTAGAGCCTCAGCTTTTTCAGATAGATTATTTTGTACAAACACATGAAGAAGAGATGTATATGCAGATTGACCTCTCATTTTATCAGGTAGATCCATAAAAAACTTTTCTGCACTACTCAGGCCACGGATTTTTGAAATCAAATCCAGATGAACTGCATAATCACCAGGTAGTAGCTTCATATTTTTCTGTAAAGTCATCCATTCACATATCTGCACAGTGGAAAAGTTCCAGATAGATTACTTGAGACTATCTTCCTGATTCATTTGAGATTATGAACAAAAAGTAAAAAGCCAGGTCAGGGAATTATAATTCAGCACCTCTAAATTCAACATAATCTATCGACCTGAGCTTTTGGATAATCTTGATTTAATCTAGAATTAGAGCAGTGAGCCCTGCCAATCGCAGTAATATCATTTTTGCAACCATTTCTTCAGCTTCATATTACGGAATCTTTAGCTAATTTCCTATCCCTCCAAGTGTTAGATAATATATTAACAAGTTCAACCTAATTTCTCGGCCTCTAAATTAATATCATCAGATACACTCTTGGAAGCTGAAGCTAGATATGACGAGCAACTCATACATCAGATGAATTGAATCGACTCTAATTCGTCCGAGTAAAAGTTCATAGCACAAGTAGAAGACAAGTTCATTCAGGCCTATGAATGCATGATCTCGTAGAAAAAATACGCTACATATGTTCTACAAAAGAAGGAAAAAGGGAATCGAATACCTCGAGTGCGTGCTTGTAGCGCTTGAGCTTGCGAAGCTCCCGAACGATACGATTGAGCTCGTACTTGCGAACAGTGTGGCCTTCTTCTTGCCATTTCCGAATGGCAATCACGGCGCTACGTTTGGGGAAAGCGAGGCTCATAAGCCTTCGCCCTAGCGTGTCTCGACCACCACCGCTTGTGCCAGAGCTTCCGGAGGCGGCTTCTAGTTTAGTGTTCTCCACCGCCGCCGCGTAGGCTTCGCCGGAAAATCGGCGGGCGGCCGTCGCTAGATATAGCCTTGAAGAACGGTGCATCGTGGCTATCAGATACCAAGTTTTGAAATGAGGGCGACGGCGAGGGACTATAGTGGAAATATATATATATATATTATATTGAAAACAAAATAGCAAAAAGAAACAAATTTTCTTATAACTTCTTTCAATTTCATCCCATCTAAGGCGTCACAAATATATGGTTCAATTTTAAAAAATATATATTTGGGTACAAACAATAAAAATGATAGCTTGTCCTCTCTTGATTCGGGGAGCTTGTGAGTAAAAGTTTTAACTGAAAGTGGCTTTGATACACGAGGTAGATTTCTGTGTAACAGCCCAAGACCATCGCTAGTAGATATAATCCACTTTAACTCGTTATATATCGTTGTCAGTCTCATCTACTAGGGAGAGGTTTTCACACCTTTACAAGAAACGTTTCATACTCTAACTAATGTGGGATTTCACAATTCGCCCCACGCCCTTGAGGGCTCAGTGTCACGGTCCTACATTCTTGACCGTGCGGCGTCGTGATCTTGACACTCTCACGACTAGCCTTGAGGGGAATTAAACCCCATATATATTTTTCACCCCGACTTTGTGGCTTCGTGGGACCTTAGGCGAGTTTGTCTTTGCCAATCGAACATCGCTTGTGCGGAATCCAATCGTCTGCAATACATCCAACTTGCCTCTATGCTAGGCTAAGTCATTCGGCTCGACCTTGGCTCTGCTCAGGCCAAGGTCTCTCAATACAACGTCGCATCTCATCTTGCCATCTCGATCCCCATCAAAAGGGTCCATATGCCTTGACACCATCCCGAGTCTCGGGATGTAGTCGGCCATCATAACTCGTTTGGTCATGCCATCGAGAATGGGCCCGAGTGTCGTTCATCTAATCGGGACTTCCCGAACATCCATCCATTCGGGTTCTATTGAGGCATAGGCCCTCCCGTGCCCATGCCGAGTCATTTACGGATACCGTACCAGATAACGAGTGTATGTAGCAACCTCCAACACGCGGGCTAGGGCGCAATACCGGCACACCCGTGCCGTCTAGTCTGTTCTTCAAAAACCCATCTCAAAGGAAGTCGCTCGAGACACTCGTCTCGGCACGCTTGCCCACACTGTGACACACGTATGTGCCATAGGACCTAGCAATGGTGGAGAGCTAACACCATGGTACCTATAGTACATTTTGAGACATTTTCATACTAACAGGTATAAACATGATTTTGGTGAGTTGTCATACGGTGTCGTGCATTGTCCGTCTGATGTCCGATTGACACCGAACTTGGCGAGCATTCATATTTTATATGGACGGACTTAACTCCCAAACCGCATGCCCAAATTCCTTCCGAAACTCCGACTTTTGAGGTTAAGGCTCGGGGCCCTACCCGGCTCTTCAACAAGTCTATCTTTGCCCTTCATGTCTATTCTGATGTCTCTGTCTTGCTTATGTCTCAACATGTCTTCAATGCTCACTTTGCGTGGTGGTGTGTTGGATGATGCATCGTCCTCCTCGATCGCATCATGACACTCTTCTATATTGGCTGGCATATGGCCGGATAGGCGTCTCTTGAGGGACGCCACTTTTCTTGTCATGGCGTGAGGGTCACAACCTACTCTTTTCATAGTATGGTTATGACATTTTCCCACACTTAACGTAGTCATCGTCCTCAATGACTTACTCAGGTCACAATCATATTGCAGATTGTGACACTCATCGTCTTCTCTGACACACCGAGATGTGTTTAGCTCTAGTACTATTTGTAACAGTTCAATCCCACTGTTGTTATCCACTTTGGCCTGTTATATATCGTCGTTAGCCTTACGATTTTAAAACGCGTATGTTAGAAATAGGTTTCCACACGCTTATAAATGAATGTCCCCCTCTATAACCACTGTAGGATCTCACCGGTGTTAAAAAAAGGAGGATCTTTGAATTGCAACAAGGGCACTAGCTGTAAACATTCCATTGGTTTGTTTTCGGTTGTCATCTGTTCTTATTTTATCGTTCTAATTTAAACACTAAATAATTTTATTAAATTATTGTTTTCGAACATTATTTGTCATCAACATTTAAATTTAAATAATTGTGGATATGGATGAAAATAAAACTTTTTGACCATACAAGAAACAAAAATTAAAGTTTTATAAAGCTAAATTGTCACCATATTAAAAATTATTGAGGAAACAA